TGGAATGCCAAGTCACATCTGTGCAGCTTTTAATGCATTTATGTCCTGCTGTGTTATGGGTTAATATCTCGTTTTATTTTCACATCCGTTACGTAACCAATTTAAGATTATAAAAGTCTGTGGCTGACATAACTTCATCAAGATGCGACTCAGATGAAACTCATGCATGTTTATATCTTAACAGCAATGCAATTAAAGGACAGAAAGCATCTGCGATGCTACAGGAACACCAGCGGCCCTGCTGATTTCTAATCTGACAACCCAGGAATTTGCATGGCGTTATCTGCACGTGAAGTGGTTCGGTGACATTTTAACGCCAGACCGACGCGTCCAGATCATCTGGGATGTATGTTGATAACAGTAATGATTGCTTTAAAGGGTTGTGGGACAGAATGTTAAGGCGACCATCACTTTTGTCCAAGCCAAATTCATTAGCTTTTAATGATATTCTTTTGAGTCACGATTCAAAAGCAACACTGGATTTTCAGTGTTGATTCTCAAATTTTAAAATCTATATATACAAATACTTATTTCAGTGACATTTATGGGTTTTTCATTTAAAGGCATCAACAATTTTGTCTCTGTAGACGTTTCCTGAGCTTTGTGGATCCAGACGATCAAGACTGACGTTTTTCCAAGTCCAAAATCCAGACTACTGAGGACAGGGTTCAGGGATTAGTCATCCATAATTAAAGAGGCATTCTTAATTCTTTCACTTCAGTGTGTGTGTGTGTGTGCGCGTACCGATGACGCAGACCTATAAAATTGTAGACGTGACGCACTCGTCCGAATGCGAGTCGGGGTCTGAAAATGCTTCAACTATCAATAAACAGTCGAAAGGATGGAAAACGATTCACCAATGCAGCGTATAATCTCCGTCAAACCATTTTCCTAAGCATTTCAAAGATGAGACGGCAGAAAAATCGATAAGATCTGCGAATGCTGTGACACGGACCAGCTGCTGGCCAGCAAGACGGTCACACATCTCAAAGGAAACAGAAGAAGCTAAATGCCGCTCTAATGGAGAACAAGCCCCGCGTGTCCACAGAGGCCTCATTGATAAACGGATCAAAAACAAACGCCCACAAGACAAATCAGTCAATTTCCCGAGCCCTCGTTTTCCTCTGAGTTATATGTATGAGGGTGCATCGCTGTCTCTGCGTGCTGCGGCAGGGAGCCGCGGGACACCTCTCTGCAGAGCAAGGAGCAAACAAACGGCGAAGGTGGAGATTGCAGCGGGAGCGCGGCATTCAGATGGGATCGCCTTTATCACGCAGTTCGGGAGAGGATAAGAAGCACATGCGCCTACACATGCTGGAAAGCGAAGAGAACGAGCAGGACGATGCTTATTTGCAGCCCGGCCTGATCTGGCCAAAGTGCCACAAGATTAAAAGAAAGTGAACAAAGGTGGATAAAAATAGGTCATTTACCACAGAGGAGGAGGTGGAAGGAGCAACGGATTAAAGCGGAGAGGAGGTGCAATTAGCATCTCCAGCGGAGGCCTTTTTTATGCTCATGGGTAGGCCGCTGTGTTTACATTTTCCACAGATAAGATGATGAACTACAGACTCATCCTACGCATACTGTATTTCCTATTGAAGTAAAGGGGGAAAAAAAAATCAGCTCAGGGAAATGGACCATGTTGGTGCTTGTGTGAAGAATTGGTGATGTTTGACATGAACAGATGAGGAATTGTTATTATGATAGAGATTTTTATTTATTTTTTTTTTTTACGTAGGAGGGAAAAAAATCCCAATGAAATCTGTACACCTCCACTTTAAGTGTAAGAGCTCAGAAAATAAAGAGAAACATATTTCTGCTCAGGAATGCAGACTGTGTGCTAGCAGCAAACATGTTGACATCATTAAAGATAAAAGTCAACAATTCTTGCTTTGTCATCCAAGGCGATACACACCAGCATAACCAGTTTGCAAAACCTGCAACAAAGTCAAAAGCATTTTTTTTTTTTTTTTTGCCACCAGGAGTTCATTCCAGAAGCATTTAGCAGGGAAAGTTGAAATTTAATTTGCATCACTCGGGTAGCCACAGCACACCTTCCTTCACAGTCATTTTACTACATTAGAGGCGACACCAAAGTATGTCAACATGAAAATGTGAGAAGCAAAACAGAATCGGGGAGATCACAAGGAGTACGAGGCGAGATGGAAACAAGCCCTGTGAGAGTACAGTACGTTCCCCCGCTGAGGCATTCGCTTTTTTCCTGTTTGGAACCTCACTCGGCTTCCTCATACTTTTCTCCAGAGGTATTCAAAAATGTCTGAGCTGCAGTTTCTATCACGGCGCTTTAAAATCCTGCCCTCTCTCCTGCTCGCATCATCAAGTGCGTTTTAAAATTTGGTTTGCAACCGAGAAAGACTTTTTTTGTCGTTCAGGATTTTGAGGTGTTGAGCTTTGAGCGTACAACGTGCATACTAACACACAAATCAAATAGCTAAACTTGGATGCTAAAATTTAAAATCTGGGTTTTGTTCTTTTTTAACGGATTAATTGTTTTCCACCGTATGCAGTTAATAGGTATAAAGAGCTTCACACTGCAAATTAGCAAACTGTGGGGACCAATGATGTAGGAGTATATGTGTAGGTCAGTCGCATATATAAAATACATATTCAACTGAGTTAATATAATAGCTGTGCTTTTAAACAGAAATCCACTTCACCGCTTAATTTCTGAACATTTGATGGTTATTTATTGCTGACAACTGTTGGGCCAAGTCTATATTTGCAAATAGGGTCTAAAAGAGAAAACATATTTTCATGCTCAATACTGAGTGACTGAATTGACTGACTGAAGATGTAACGCCAATAAAATAATGCACTTAGGAGAAACACCATTTTATTCTTTATAAGCAGTGTACCGTTTTCCACTAAAAGCCTGATAAAATATAAAATAAAGTCAATGTAAATTGTTTTTAAATGTTAGCGGGAAGATTACTGAAAAGATCTCTGATGCGTTTTTAGTCGTCTGGCAAGATGCGGAACAACCCTCATGAGCTTTCCCAACGCTGCAATGTGTTGTTAATCAAGGCCTGGCTAATGATTAAAGGGGAAAAACAAGTTTGCGTACTTCCTCAGGTGAACTCAGGTCTTGGCTCACGCTCCAGGCCACCTGACAGAGTGGCTGGCACAGGGTGTTTGCGTTTGCACACGTGAGTACAGTCAGAGGCTACGCAGCCTATTTGAAGCCCATAATCTCTGTTGATCTCTGACCTGTGTCTGCCCACATCTAAGCTCATGTTGCTTTTCTTCCTTCACGTAATGAAGTAAGAGCAGCGCAGCTACAGGAACACAGTTGAGGGAGGCAACAAAGACATAATTGTTGTCTGTCTGAGCTAAAGACGTAAATCTCTTCGGTCCAGTGAACTGTCACCGTATCGACAAACGGATGGTGTAACCCAGAGGGGCTCGGTGTCGGGCTTTCGGCCACTAATCATTATCTACTGCTACCGAGGCTGATCAACAGGGTTCATGCAGCCATGCCCTGATCTTCAATCAAATCATTCCCTGTAAGGCTGCACACAACCGGCCTTGTGAACCAAGACCTGTGTTAAATAGACCTATTGTCCACTTCTTACCACAGAAACACGCTCCACGTCAGAACCATTACATTTTCAGGACTGACCTGCTGCCCTGAGCGTTCCCACCAGCCCTCATTCTCAACTCCAAATGTCTTTGTGAAATCAATCACATCTTCCTTGAGACTATAGAGACACTTTACCCCACCATCAATCTAGTCTAAATGAAAAACTCTTAAAAAAAAACAACACACAGACCTGGGGGGGGGGGAAATACATGGAAGAGTCTTGAGAAAACAGTGTAGTGAAAATAAATGGAATGAAATGACAACACAACCAATGTCTTGTTCTACACACAAAATAATCATGGTGGTTGGGAAGGAGATGTTCGAGTTCAGCAATGTGAAAAAGTAATTGTTCCCTTACAGTTTTCTTTTGTTTTGTCACACTTGGATAAAAAAAAAAAAAAAGTTATACAAGACAAAGATTTCCAAGTATTATGATTTCATTCATGACAAAGAAACTATCCAAATAAAGCCCTAAGTGAAAAAGGAACCACTTCTAAAATTAGCTGGTTTTCCAATCTCAACTGGATTTAATCTCCAACACAGACTATGGCAGGCCAAATTATTCAATTTCTTCTTTTTTAACTATTCAGAGGTGGATTTGCTGGTGTGCTTTGGGTCATTGTGATGCTCCATACTGTGCTTGAGCTCATGAACTGATGGCCATACGCTCCTTAAAGCTGTGATGCATTACTGTACAACTATCATGTTAGCTGTATTGCTGTTATTTTCATGCCAGATGTAAAAAAAGCACACCTTCCAAACAATTGGCCACTTCAGTCTAATCAGTCCACAAAATATTTTAAAATTTATCAAGATGTTTCTGGTGAACTTGCACATTTTGTGCTCGTCTTGATCACTTTATTACGCTTGAATGCTGAAAACCGAATCAGATCAAGTCTGCAATGCCTTAAATTTAGTTTTTATCCTTTTCTGACCTCCTAGATGAGTCATTAATGTCTTCTTATGGTAATTCTGGTGGGTTGAGAACTCCTGCAAAGGATCCCATTTAAGTGAATGCTTGATTCTACAGGTCTGGCTGGATGTGACTAGTGAAATTAAACCAAAAAAAAAAAGTGGTTAACTTCACTGAATGAAGAATTTAACAAAAGAGACAACGGTGAAGACGATTTCAACAATTTTGAAATCAAAAAAAGGCAAAAAACAAAAGAAACCTAGAGGAAGGGAAATACTTTTTACTAACACTGAAAAGCTACGCTGGGTCCTTCTGATTCGCGGCTCGACTCTGAGCAGAGTTTTGGATGACAGACACCGCTGGGCTGGGTGATTACACTACGGGAGGAGGGACTCTCCACTACTCCACGGGTCTCTGGGGAGCACCGCCACATCAACTGTACGATGGAGGGTTTCAGGGCTGTAGACCATCCAGACAATCACCCACCTGCAGCAGTCCCCTGATAGAGAATAATGTGACAGTGGCCCTGATTTCTCCGTCAAAGGCGACGAACAGCATTCCAGGTCCGAGTCCTCGTCCATATAGCACAGCGGGGCTAGAAGAGTCCCAGACACGCTGAGCATCTCTGGGGTCGTCGTCTGGCTCGCTCCCTTGGAAGGTGATCTACTGTGCTCCACTTCGAACACGCCGTCATCTCCTTGTGAGAGGAAGCCTGACTCTGTGCCTTCTAGCAGCGTGCTGCAGGACTTGGTGATGTGGAGGTGGGAGGCGTAGCTTCCCAGCTCAGAGCACTGCAGGCTAGCGGAGGTGGAAGATCGGGAGAAGGGAAGGAGGAGACGAAGGAAGTTCGAGCCCGGAGTGGAAAGAGGCTGAAGGAGACTGGTGGGGTGAGGAGAAGGAGGACCGGATGGGTTGCCCAACATGTATTTGTGGTTGTTAGTGAGGGAGGGGACAAGGTGGAGGGTGGTGCGGGTTGAAAGTGGAGCATCCCTGCTCTCCCTCTTGGACGTGGCGACCGGGTCGTCTCCGAGCATCTTGCCGTCGGGACACTGGGCGTGCTCGGGCTTCACATCCAGCTCTCCCTCCGAGCATGTGCGATCTATGAAGTGCAGCCCGCGACAAAGGTTGTCCACGCGCTGACCCACGTCGTTCAGAGACAGAGAAAACCTGAGAGAGTTTTTAGGCCGAATGCCAACGGAGGCGGGGCGCAGCACGGACAGCCAGTCTCTCTGCTTGGCGTACTTGGAGCCGTGCGGGGAGTCTGCGCAGACGGTGGTCACCGAAAGACCATCAGACGTTTTACCGTTGGAGTTCAACAGGACCACCGCAGTCTGTTTCTGAGTGTCCTGATCCTGACTGCTGTAGCGTTGGAGGTTTGTGTGTATGTGTTTATCAAAGAGGATCATATGATAGACAATGGGATTAGAAAGTGGAGAAAAAGACAAAAAAAGAGAAATGGAAAGGACAATCATGTGCTTTAAAATGGAGAAACAACAAAAAAGGAAGATGAGGTTGACTTTAGCTGGCTTTGACACATGCAAGGTTTGATCTCAAAACTGGAATATCATCCGAAAGTTTATTTACTTCAGCATACCACTTCACCAAGCTAAACTCGTAATATGCAGAATAAATCCTTCTGTGAAATGAATGCAACCTTTTATTTAATAATGATGATCTAGAGAAGGGACTCTGACCACTGAGCAACATTCAATTTTCTCCTCAGCTCAGGTAAAACATTTCTAATGTTTCTGGTTAAAATTGGCTTAACTCAAACAATGCACCAGCTGTCTGAAACGGTCTTTGCATAAAAATCCTGTCAAAGCTGCAAATATACTTGTGGTATGTACTCCCTTTTCTACCACAGATTTTTTTTTTTCCCAACTAAATTTTCCATTAATATAGTGGATATAGCAGCAGTCTGAACAGGATGCTTCTTCACAACCCAACACTGTAATTTGAAGAGAATCTAACATTGAATTTTATTTGGTTGTAAAGCACAATCATCGAAATTGACAGAATCATTCTGCGTAATGAATCCAGAAATGCAATTCTTTTGAGCAAGATTTTCAATGATATTCTAACTTACTGCGATCCAACTGATGATCTGATAAAATGCACTTTACAAGCAATCCTAGGAAGTCTCACAGTGACGGTAAGTAGCGTAAAAGTACAGGGAAAGCCAACATCGCCCACTGATGGGGAACTTCACCGGTAACGTTTGCAGACAGTTCAATTTATGGCACTCTGGTATAAACACCTGCCAAGGGTAAATAGAGAGATTTGAAGCCTTTTGTACCTGCAGATGTCCTGGCTGGACGGGGAAACGGACGTCCTTGAGAAACTGCATGGGGCGTTGACTGAGGTCGGGCTCCCCGCCTGGAGAACAAAAACATTCAGGGAAAAAGAAAAAGGGCTGTTAAAGGCAGAAAATGAAATCACGAGAGCATCAACACTCTACTGTTACACAAACTTGAAATAACCTAGCACGTCGCACCCAGTTATATTTCTAGTGATGACTGTAGTTTGTCTTGTGGGCTGACGACAATCAGGTTGTCGGCTTCTGAAACCGATTTGGTTTTTCTTTTTTTACTGAAGGAATCAAAGCATGTTGAATACTGATGCAGAGGACAAAAAGTCGAGAGGGAGGAGGAAATTCCCAACACTGACAGTTAATCTATTGGGTTAAAGTTGTGGCACAAATATTCTGTCTGAGAACAGAACAGAGGAGGTGAAAAAAAAAACAGGCACAAACGAGGAGAGATGCTGATGAGACAGAGAGAAATGAACGCATGCAGAGCTGAGGAAAGACGACGCTGCAGGTGGTGAAGGTAGGACGAACGTTTAAATGACAGACCTGAAGCTTTTATACTTGTGGAAAATGATGTAAAGTAAAAATATTCTCACACAGAAATGTTTTCCCAACTTCTTTTAACAAATAAAACTTCAAATGGGTGATGTAAACTCACATTTAAATCCGACAGAGTCAAAACTTTAAAGAGACGCGTGCATCACGGTGAACATCTGAAACACCGTTATATAACTTGCCTTAATTTTACTTGCCCAAATACAATGCAGCGCATAATTTTCAGGTTGTATTTGTAAAAAAAAAAATAAATAAAAAAATATGAAAACCATGCCTGTACTACTTTATGTTCAAGACAGAATACATAAAATGGCAGCAAAATATATTAAAGTTTACAGTTGTAACATAATTCAGGAGGAATGAATACTTCTACAAAGCTCTGTGCAGCTTCTATTAGCTCTTTACCGAAAAGGAATAGTTACGTTTTTTGTGACAAAATAAAATGTAATGATTACCAAACTACTTCAGAGCCAAGAGCGTCGCTATTATTCACCCGATTTGGAAGTAGTTAACACAGGAGGCAATTAAATTTCTTTTTAACACAAATCACTGTGTGGTTCACACATAGCTGTGTTTGTCTTGGAGTGAAACGATGCAACTTGCACATCTTTTAAACTTGTGTTATCATACAGGTGTATGATTACCATGAATAGGTCTCCTCGCCACTTCTTTTTTCCAGTTCTTACTTCAGTTTCACACAGTAGCGGCATTAAACACTTGCGTGTTTATCGATACAAATAAAGTGCAATCCGTGGTCTCGGAGTTTCAGTATCTGATATAAAGACAATTTCAACATGAGACTAATTTACCCATCGACTTCATTTCCTGCCAAATTAAAATTTATAGCTCATTACCCAACATGGGTCAATAGAAAACTCGATGTCCAGCTACGCCCTTCAGCACATGTAATCCATGTGTGCATATGGTACAAAGTTATAATAATAAAAAAAAAAAGCTTTCAGTTCCACACCAAAGGCCAAACTCTTTTCTTTGTTCCGGTTTTCTCCAATTGTCCTCCAAGGTTACCGTTTCACCACAATCAGTTTGTTCCTCCTGCTTTAATATTTAACCGTTTTAGGTGTAAAGATCACATTAAAAAGCTAGCCAATTAAAAACACTGCAGTGTGTTGTAAAAGTATTCATAGCCATTGAGCTTACTCTCATTTTGTCAAGTTAAATAAAACACAAATTTATTGGGATTTTATAGATTTTTATTCACACAAGGTTCAGCTGCGTGATATTTAATCTCATAAATCCAGGATTTTTTTTTTTCTTTTTTGAAGGCTTTAGGGGTTTGGAGAACATTATTGCACAAACAAACCACAGAGAGGATGGAGAGAAAGTTGAGAAGAAGCTTAAAGCAATTTAAATTATAAAACAAAATTTCAACCTTTTCATGGAGCTCTGTTTATTCCAGCATATGAAAATGCAAACTTGCATTTCAACTCACTAACCGCACAACTATCAGACGGCCATTACAAATCTTGCCTTCATGAAAATCTGGCAAGAATGACGACATCATTAAAGTAGGTCTGCGCAATTTTAGGAAAGAAACAGATTAAAATATAATTGCTGAATATTGAAATTGAGTTATTCATTCCTTTTGTACTATTGCATGCATTTATATTACGATGATGACTGCAGTTGGAGATGCTGTGCAGGTGCAAAAAAAAAAAAAAAAAAAAAACTAAAAGCCCTGTGGGCAGTTTGTCAAAACCCATGTAAGAAACATATCACAAATGTGCAATGATCAAAACATCCGTCTTTGGTCTACGTGCTTTCTGTGACAAAGAACTAAAACTTCACATCAGCATGAATGCAAAACCCCGCGATGAAGTCATGATGTTTTGAGGAGCGTGGAAGTTGTTCGGAGAGGAAAAAAATAAAATACAGGGAATTCCTGAAGAATAAAAGATGCTGTAGGAAACTTGGGTGGATTTAATCCTTCAAGTTTATAGCTACTGCACTGATAAAAGTGCAGTAGCTATAAACATTCAGCCTGTGTAAGTATGCATCATGTCAGAATAACCCAAAGTCCAGATCAAAATACAATCCAGAAGCTGTGGCAAGTGCCAACGATGGATGTTTACGGATACAGTCAATAAAACCTGACAAAATCTGAGCCTTTTTTGCAAAAAAGGGGCAAATATTTCACACTCATGATGTGCAAAGCTGATAAACATAGCCTGAAGCACTTGCAGCAATAGTTGCAAAAAATAGAAACGGGTGGTTCTACAAAACAATGCATCATGTGGGCTGAATACCAACAATCTAAAAATATGGAAAGTTGAGCATTATTTTCCTTCCACTTCGCAAAATATGTTCACACTTTTCATTGTTTAGAAATACAAAATGCCAAAACACACCAATAAACAGATTTGTCCAAGTTATTCCTTGGTGTCATGATTGCAGAAAGCTACTGGAGGGGTTCATCATTTTTTCAAAGATTTGCTCCTTTTAATCATTCACTCAGTAATGTCGCGCATGCTGGCCAATAAATAACCAGCAGCGACTCTGAACAGTCAGACAACAGGGTGGCGAGAATATTCCTGAGATTTTAATGATTAACTCCCTGCCATCTGCCTGAATCTCCAGGCTTTTACACAAAACATCATCTCACCACATGCCGTTTTACCTCAAAACATTCTGTGTTTTAATAAAACCGTGTCCACTAACCAACAATGACTTTTATTTTTCTAATCTCCCTCCTCGATTTTCTTTTTAATCTCCACACGTCACCACCTGCCTCGTTTCTCAAAAAACGATGCTGGGAAGCTTTCTGAACGATTTTTACGTTCCTTGTTTGAAGCGAGCTGCAACCACGTTTACTCGCATTTTAAAAACAAAAACCTAATGGGATTCAAAGGATGACAAACCTTCAAAAAAAAAAAAAAACAATGTGACAAACAAGATATGAAAATCAGAATTAAAAGCAAAAAAAAAAAAAAAGATATTACAAAAGGTATCAGGGTGAACTTGGCCTCGTCAAAATTAATTTCATATCACGCCATTTAAAAGTCCTATTGATGATTTCCTCAAGGAGAAAGCTGAGGCAGAAGTTATCTCCAGTCCTGCCTGTCAGCACGATTACATAAGAGCCACTGATAAGCCTTGATATCAAGCAAGCTTGGAAGAAGAATCATTAACTCTTCCAGATTACGTTGCCAGGAAAAAAAAAAAGAAAAAAAAAAAGGCTTTGTCGGAGAGTTGCTCTCTCCGACAGCCGTTCAGCACTATCACTTTTATCTCTTTTCATTAATCTGTGTTTTTAAAAACTGTTTATCTACACTCCAGGTCCCCTCAGCAGCCACTGATAAAAGCTGACAACGCTGCTTCCCCGGGGGTTAAAATAACCAAACAAATATCATCTGGCCACCAGCAGGACGTAGCGACGGTCTGTGTGGCCTGAAGCCGCAGCCAGCAGCTGATTAGGCTGGATTAACATCCGTCTCTGACCTTCGTGCAGATTCGTCGCAAAACTAATTTATTACGGCCCTGCTGAAACATTAAGCAAACCGGAGTAAACTGTTCATTTATTGAGCGTTTAAATCTTCATTTTCACCGTCTGTGGAGCCCAGAAACTGTATCTGGCGGCTCAAAATAGCTTAAGCGTTGTCACATCACAGGTGCAGCGCCACAGACTAAAAATGCATTAATGAAACGTCACGGCGGTCTGAGCGACGGGCAATAATTTCTGGTGTATTGTGGGAAAGTCCTTCAGCTCAAACCCGAGATGAAGTGAGGAGACGTTAAAATATTGAAGCCGCCTCTAGTGATTACACACCAGGGCTGTGTAATCACTCAACCTGAGGTAGGTCTCGGTGAAACTCAATCACGGGACAGCTGCAACCTTTTCCACAGACGGCAGACAGGAGCCCAGGCTGAGGTGTATTTTCTGGACCACTTCTTAAAATTGAAGTGATGTACTAACATTTTCCTTTCCCACCGAGACACGAGAGACATTTAGGCATGTAATCCGGACAACTTAACAGCAGCAGTCGGTGTCGAAGGCTGATTTGTTTGATTGGCCAATTATTTCTTTGGCACTTAACACCGAATTATGTTTTTGTCTCTCCAAAGGTCCTGTGCGTGTGTGTGTGTGTGTGTGTGTGTGTGTGTGGTCTGCAAAAACTGCTGCACATTTGGACAAGGCTTAATTGTGGCAGCTTGATCTCTATTACAAGAGAGAATGCTTTAGCTTATTAAAAATGTATAAAATTGCCAGCGTGTACCGATTTTCCACATAGCACTTTCCATCTGTGTATTATTTGCAATTACTTCATACATTAGCCTGGTTTTCTTCCTGCTCTTTTACTTCGATAGAAAGTATTTATTTGTCTGTGAGTGTGATCTGCGTTTTTCGGGCATTAACTTTATATACCCTTAGTTTTCCTTGGCAATAGAAAGTCCACCTGGCTCAGTGTTTCTGTGTTTAGCGGAGTCATTGATGCGTCCCTTACATTCAAGGTTCTGCTGGTGGTTTCTCCCTGTAATAAGCGCCGCAAAAATGACCAAATCCTTCTGGTTTCCTCCACTCAGATCAAAGTTCTGATTTCCTACTCGAACTGAACACAACATGTGAGCCAGCATCAAAAACCTACCACAATTTGTCATTTTTTAAAATTGGTGATATCAGTTGTAAATACTAGTTGAATAGATGGAGACCCTTTTTTTTTTTTTTTACACCAAGGTTTGGCTTGTTTTCTTTGATAACCCTCCGAAAGTAATTTCGCAGCACAGCTGGCTTTTTTCCACCGAGAAACAAAAACTTCCTGATCAGAAAAGAAATCAAATAAGAGCCGAAAGTGCGGTGGAGAAAATAAAACTGATTTGCAGAGGGTGGGGGAACAATTTACTTTACATGGTGCCTGCTGTAAGAGCGCCACCCCAAGCTGAAGAGAAAGAGCCTCGTGGAGATCTGGAAGGCAACGCTGTGCAGAATGCTAATGCAAACGAGCCTATTCTGTGAGCAAACCTGCGGCTCTTCAATTTAAAGCTTCTCCAGATGCGTGGCCAAGTGTCAGTGGCAGTCCAATGAATCCTGAGTGGCTGCTTTGTGGGCTTATGAGGACTGTTAATAGTTTAATTCGTTCCCAAAACCATGTGGGAGGCATTGCCAGTTTCCTGGCTCTGTGCTAAACAGAGAAAAGGCTCCAGCTAAGCCTTCTGACCTCGCCGGGTGGAAAATCAACTCGTGCCAAATCGGTGGGCAATCTTCAGCCCACACCGTGTGCTCAGATAATGCTCCAGAGGTGCTTCTGGACGTATGAACGCACTCAGATCTGACCGCTTTCACAATTTTCTGATCGTTTTCTTTCCGACTACCTTTATAAACACGAATAGAGCAAATAACGCAACAGTAATTGGCTTTATGACAATCCATTTTCATCCCATCTACAGCACCTTTATACCCCCACAGTGACAAGTCCATTAATGGAGGCAATATCACCCTCGTGAAAGAGCATACCTTCTGGCTAAAAGGTTTTCCTGTTTTCCGAGCCTCTTATGTTTCTCCTGACAGGCCTTCCTCTGGTAGTTTTGCACACGCCTGCAAATCTGCAGGTTCGACGCATTACCGCAGCAAAACTTCGCAGAAAATGTCAAGCAGCCCCTCGTCGGAGGGATCACAAGCGTCTCGTTAGGTCATCAACACAAAAATGGAGCAGGATGCGTCGACAGCATGAATAAATTCTTTGTATGTGCGAGAGCTCGGATGCTCTAAAGTGGACCGTTGGTGCCAAGCTGTTACGAAATACTCCTCCCAGGCTGAAGCTGTAGTTATTTATACAGACATATCAGTTAAGTAGGTCAACATTTAGATAAAAGAGCGTTCTTTTCCCTCTTTATTTTCGCTGATCTGACACGATCTAATGTGATTTGGTTTGATTCTGAGCCATTTGAGATAATTCAGCAACACTTAGCTGCCCCTATTTCCAGCTCATGAGGTAAAGAGGCTGGAATTCAGCAAGGACTATTTATGAAAACTTGCATCTGTGGCACCTCAAAATAAGGCACATGTGTGATTTAACAGAACACATAATCAGTTCTGTGTTTCACAGTGATTCAGTGTTGCAAGACAAATCAACTTGGCCTACATTTTGTGTTCTTGCTGCAAAGAGAAGATTTGAGTCGCTGCCAAAAATATGAAAATCCTTCATCTCATCCTGCCAATACAGCAGAGAGCGAGGAGATTTATAAATATAATGCATATATGAATAAAATCTCACTTCTCTACTCTTGCGTTTTCTCATTTGAAGCAGCTTGGAGGAGACGCGGTTTTGAAAAGATAGTCCGCTGCAGAAAATGTATAATAATCCTGCAACGAGTTGGACCGCTGGCGTCATCTGCTAAAATTTTTATCCAGTTACTGCTTTGTCTGGATTTTCAATTTAGTCCAACCTTTTCTCCATCGAGCACACTCGCTTTTTTTTTTTTTTAAAACAGATGAGCACTCTCGTCCATCCAGAGAACAATTAATCCCGATTTAAAACCTGTCCGTCAGTCGCATTTCCCTGAAGGGGGGAAGAAGGAAACACCATCTGGCGGCACAACTGCAGGATATTAATTAAAGCTGTCAAACTTAAGCGCATTCTTAATACTTCATGTCTATCACTTCATTTAACACACACATTTGTCAAAGGAATGGTGGTGTAGGTAGGACATTCAATGACAACGTGTCTGCTTACGGACAAGCCGAGGAAATCGCAGTCTGAATTGGTGAACAGGAGTCCTCAAAGTGAGGATGTTATTATTTCTATTTATGGAAATAAGACTAGGGCAAAATTACAGAAACTCTTTCTTTTAAACAAAGGTGACAATCATTTATTGTGTATATTCATTATACGGAGGGCGATCTATTGGGTGATATATTTCAAGTGTTGATTACTATTAATACGCCTTACAGCAAATTAAGAACTCAAAGTGCATTTTTGCACAAGTTTTTAACATTAGCCATTAAAAATAATAAACACTTAATGCAGAAATGTTGGCATGCTGAGAAGTATGGCAATTTACTGCCAAGTATGTACACTCAGTCTTGAGTCAATTACATTTTTTATTCCATTTCCTTCCACTTAACTTTTGAATAACACTCTGGTGCAACATTTCTGTTTAGCAACAACCTTTCGTGGCTTATGCGCCTCGTTTTGGGTGTTAATGGCCGACAAGTCAGCAGCCGTACACACGAGTGATTATGTCATAAGATATTTTAAACAGATTTATGTCTTTAGAAATACTTTATACAGGCCAAACGTTTTGGGGGTTTTCAGTAACTGTAAACAACAATAATCTAAATTCACACTTGAGATATTTCATTCCGAGTGTAATGAAGCCCCTGCTGATGACCGGTTAACTGACTGCTGGAGATGAGCACCAGATTTAAACCATTAAAGATACGAGTTACGCTTTTTGAGCGACAGAAGTAAATTAACTTCTCAATTATATTTAAATGCATTAGGATGCCACAATACTTGAGCTGTTCATGCATGGGCATTTTCAAAATATTCTCAACTTCTCCCTCTCTTGTGAAGTTTGTTACTTGGCGCTAACCTTGCAAATATTTGTAGCAAAATCTCCAAGCACAACAAAAGGAGCATGTGATATCACCAGTGATCTTTGATACTGACCGCAAAAGCACTTTCCTTAAATGAAAAATAAACCAGGAAGAAACATTATTCTGTCATGAAGTTTTATGTTCAACTTTAATTCTAAATTGTGTTCAACCAAATAGGAAATGGCTAAGTTTAATACAGCTCTGACACAGACGATCAGTTGACCTTATTTATTTAGTTTTACAAGCAGCCCATCTTATTAATGAAGCTGAACGCCGTCCTATAAGACAGTATTTATGTCCAACCACAACCATTACCCTGAAAATGAGCAATAAATTTGCCACTTGGGTGCATTAAATGCCACCTTCCTCGTGCCTAAAGAGCGAGTGGCTGGTGAATCAAATAAAACCGCTGGGAGCTGTCCCTGGGTGACAAAATAACTCCCGACATCTATTAGTCCAACTAAAGCGTTTATACTCTTAAGAGGCTCAGGGACGAGTGGACTGACACGGTGGCACCTCACTCAATACAGGAGGCCGGCTTTAGGTACAGTGGCATGAGAGGAAGGAAGAAGGAAAAAAAAAAGGGATAAAGAAAGATTTACTGATTAGAGAAGAGGACCTGAGTAGGGCCATGTGACATGAAATCAGGTATTTTATCAGCTGTTTTCACTCTGTTGGCTCCTTCCATTTGCCTTCATCTTTAATTTATAGATTCTTTCATTTGTATGGTTGTCACTCACCTTTGATATATTGCTGGATCTGCTAGCTGAATGACCTAGAGGCTTTTCATTCTGTAGAAAAAAAAAGAAGAAGAAGGAGAAAAGCATTTTAGTGAGCAAATAAAACCACATTAAAAACAAAATGAAGAATAAATGCCGGTCAGCATGCACTTTTTTTTTTTCCTGCACTGAGAACACGCATCACATTACCATATGAAGCACATTTTATTTCTAATGAAAAGTGCTGCTAAAGGAACAGCCTTCATACATCAGACGCATCGCATTTTATAGAGTGAATAACGGAGGACTGATTCAAGATGCATCAATCAAAGCTCAGAGTTCCACTGAATCTCGGTTGCTTGGCGTCTTAAGTCCGCAAATCAACTTATTAAGCCACGAGACCAAAGGACGCCAATTTCGTAACGTATCGTCCAAACTCCGAATCAAATGGTGTCGTACTATTTGCATCATTATCCAGGAAGCAGAACAAGTAAATTCTTCCAAAGCTGTCAAGATGCGTTACGAAGCTTTACCGATTCCCACTCTGTGTCCTCAGCTTGCATCAGAGGCTGGGATAAACGGCTGCTGGCGTGTCCCGATTCATTCAGGATCGGCAGTGAAGGCGGGCATGATTTCTTAATCAGTAATCAATCATAGTTGCGTGATGCGGAGCTCACATCAAAATTGACTGGACACGTGAACGAGCATGCAAGAAGAGCTTGGCTGAGAGAAATTACCACCGTAGGAGCATTTTCTCAACATTACCACGTTAGGTGTGGGTTAATTAAAGTGTTAAAGGGGTAAAAATCTGCTCTTCTATGCTTTCCACTCACTGAACTCCTCAATAACTCAATATTCCACACATTAGTAGCACAGACGGTTACTAAAAACTGATCACTGCTTATTTTCCCCACTATAAAATTCCTTCAAGATTTGAACATTGCATTAATATTTAGCTTGGCTTCAGTCTAGAGCATTTCCTTGAATTAATAATGCTGCACTTGCAGTAACAATAAAAGAACCGCCACCAATTAGATGAATTACATCCATCAGCATTACAAATCATGTCTAAAACCCAACCTCGCTGTCTTATTTGCAGCAGGCGTCCTTTATATTGGATAAAGCCGTCACTGATACATCCCAGCAAGTGCAGGTGGAAATCTGATCCATGAGCTAGGCTGCACTATTCCTGGCAGGGAGTGTAAAGTGTAAGATGAGCTTAGGCCCAAGGCTAATGTTCAAATTAATCGCCAAATACATCTAATGATGAATTATATGCTACAGCATTTAATCAGATGTTTGTCAAATTTAGAGGAGTCAAGCAGATTACTAAAAAAGATGTTTAAGTACAATGAAATGGCTGACAACATTGCAGCTTAATATAGGGAAAATTAAATTTTTTCTTAGGTAAACAATTAAGTTCAATATTCTGCCATGAGTTTTGAAGCAACAGGAGTGTGCGATGGTGCATTTGTCTTCACAACACCTCAGACCTGAATCTTTTTACACAAGACAGAGAATAAACACTGGAAAGATAAACATTGCTTGTAAAGTCTCTGGTGAAATCTCCTTCTCCATACTTTGTCTGAAAATGTTCCCATGTCCTAAAACGGACTAAGAACCACTGCATGTTCCTGCTCTCTCAACAAAAGCTGGAGTTTCGCCCTGCTTGGTTCCTCTTTATGGCATTTATTGGTAAATACATTGATTACTATTACACCACATGTTTACGTGGAAATACTGGAAATGATTAAATACAAAACATGTCTTTCATGTTATGTGATGGCAGCAGATTCGCTTTATATAGTGGTAAAAAGTCTTTGCTCAGATGGGAAGCCGGTGTCTACATACTCAAAATGTACAAGCATAGTTGCCATGGCAATAGCATGTCTGAACTTTCTCCATCCTTCAACTCAAATGCAAGAAACCATAATTACTTTCAACTCTATGCAAGAGTACATGTAAACACTGAATAGTAACACTCAATTAATCCAAACAGGCATTCATTTTCGACCATTAAAACGACGAGCAAACAGAAATCTGGCCTCGCTGGGAGAAAAAGGGCGCTCGATTTGTGGTGAGTAGGTCGACTTTGGCTAAACAAGAAATCCATCATATTCCCCAGTGACCTTTAATTTTCTCACACTCCTCTCATCAGAACAGAAAATGTCTCCAATATCTAAGGAGCTCTTGGAAGAATTAGAATCAATACAATTTACTCCACTAAAAATGTCACCTGCATGCATGAAACTTAAACTGTTTTTTGTTTTTTTTAAATCATTGTTTTCTGATGTGCCTTAGTCAGGAGGTAGACTGAGGACAGATGTTAGGTTAAACATTATTTTTTTGTTAGCTTTTAGCATTGTGAAAAATATGACATATTCTTCCTCATGTATTCTAATGCTGGTCCAATCTACCTCAAAGTCAACAAATTTGATTTGAATTCGCCCAATCTAAAACAAAACCTGTTACAAAGCACAACTTCTGGTTCGCTAATGTCCTCCGGAAAATAAATCTGCTCCGACATGTTTTCTTTTTTGCCTGTACTTGCGAATTGCATGACTCTACTCTGTTTCATTGTCTTCCCTTTGTCAGTGGGGTCCATTTCATTTCCACAAGATGGCAAGTGAGGCTCTACCAAGGGTACAATTTGTTCAGAAAAATCAATGACTAAACTTGACACGGAATTCAGTTTCCCAAGGTATGGCGATCAAACCTTGAAAAGCACGACGAAAATATACACAACAGTAATGAAACTTGGCCTTAATCCGGTTTTCTCTGTCAAATGTGAAGCAGCAAGGGAATATGCAAAGGTAAAGGTGAAATAACAAGGCCACAAGTGCAACGCTGTTGTAGACAGTAAATGATTAGAGGAGATTTTGTTTACTTTATCATTGCACACGCTATAAGCAAGCAGCCATATTGGACATTGGAGTCAAGGTTGGTGAGCGCTGATTTTCCCAGATAGACCCTCATACCGAGTCTGGCTCTGCTGGAGGTTTCCCCCTATTAAAAGTCTGTTTTTTCTGTCCACAGTCACCCCATGCTTGACCAGGATGAGAGATTACTGCAAAGTCAATAACTTGATATAATTGGAGCAACTGGCATTGTACAATAATTTGACTGTAAAGCACTTTAATCGTGATGCAATCGTTTCACCTGAAAGTTACCACATCATTAGAATGAACTGGATCGATTTGAACAATTTGGACGGGTTTGGATTTCATACAACTGGAAATGTGTGAGACCAGTTATCAGTGTTGATTTGACATGTGTTGTAATTTGGCGCTTTATGAATTAAATGAAACAGAATTAAAGTTTTAGTGTGAACATTACTTTATTGTCAGAAGTCTGAACATGTTTGTGCAATATGAAGACTATAAACATCAGATTGTAAAAAACTGACTAAAATGTCGACAAAAATCAAAGAGATGTTAGAATTTAAATAAAAGTAAGCCATCTAGTTTAATAAATGAATTTAGATCCATAGAAGGAAATCCTGCTATCGCTGATTTCCTGGGAATTACAGCCAGTAAGGCTGTTAACAGTAGGAACAAACATCTACAACCAGATTTTTGTACCAGAAAATCAACTATATTCTAAAATAAATTTCATAAAGAAAATAAGAATTAATCAAGTATATTTGTATAGCACATTTCAGCAACAAGTCAGTTCAAAGTGCTTAACAATATGAGAACAAAAGAATTAGACAAAATAATCTAATAAAAAAAAATGAACAAACAGGAAGAACAGTTCCTGAAACACCCAAGCCCTGACTTTTTATTTATATAAAACAGTGTTATCACTCATGTCGACACTGCCGTTGTGTTTTCTATTGATGCTGTTTTTCTAGACTGAATCTTTCCTGAGTGTCCCATCCCATAGAGGGACGAGCCCAGACTTGTTGAATGTCGTCTCCACACTTGAGCAAGTGGCCTAGATGGGAAGAGTCACAGAAAGTCATAATCATTTTTGCTGTAAATAAGCAGCTACTCCTCATTTGTAGCTGCAGTGCAATGAAAGCTTCCACCAGTGAACCAACCCTCCTCTCCCTCCCCCCAGTCCTCCTAAGCCACATTGAAATTATGTGATGTGTAGTAAAAGTATTATCATCACAACAAGCTTCCAAGCTTGGAGGAAAAGCACCAATAGAGACGTAACTCGGTGAGCTCTCTGCTTCTGCTGCTTTAAAACAACAGCAAAGGGTTAAAAGAGTGAGAAAGTAGTCTTGTTAAAATTGCCTCAATCCCAACTGAAAATTACGTTCAGCGGCGATGTCTACACGCTGCGTCTACCGAGTCCTAGCAGACATTTATAACAACCATCTTGTTTTCCAGGCGGAGAGATGTTTTGTGGCATTTCCTCGGAAAGCCTAATAAGATGAAGAGCGAGGGGGACAAATATACCACTTTTTTTTTCTATAAAGAGATCTAGTCTTTACGCTTATCCGACGAGAAGCTTCATTATCTACAATTTCAACTTGGACAGCTGGAACACGTAAGATGCCTAATAGCATGATGTCTTTATGCGAGCAGCAGTTTGCTAAACTGACAAACTGCAGACTGTAAACACGAGTGGGTACGAATAGAAAATAAAGCCCAACAGCAAACCGTTCAGGTCAGATACTCTGCATTATACTATAATGCAAATATTTATAGGACTTTGACTGGGCCATTTTCACTCGTAATAATGCTTCTTCGACCATTGCCTTTGGACAGGAGCTGTGACTGCATGTTCAGGCTCATTACTCTGGAGGCTGGATGTTGAGCTTCTCCACCAGTCTGAAGTCATTTACCCCTTCTAGCAGTTTCTCTTCCCCACAGCATGATGCTGCCACCACCATATTTCACAGGAGTTAAATTTTGGTCTTAGCTAATGCTCAGACTTTCTTTCACAAATGCATGAAATGGTGAATGTGGAAAAACATCAAGTTTCAAATCCAGCCACAGATTTTTGGTCTAATGCAGGGCCAGACTTGGACTGTGCCACTAACACATGCACAGGCAGTCCTGGCTGTATTTCCAGCATCATCCAGCTGGAAGGTGAACCTCTGCCCATGACTTAAGTCATTTGTTGCATATTTAATTGAAAATGTTAAAAAATATCCTCCTCTTGGAGACATGAAAGCTAAAAGACTGAAAGTTTTGTTTTGCTGTGACCCAGAACAGTGTTTTCAAACTTAAGATAAGCCAAAATCTGACAGCCGAATAGGGAGGAAAATAAACCACACAAATTTGAAAGTTGGCTCCAAATGATTAATTATATAATGGCAATTTGCCTTTCAGAGTGTCCTAATGAAACCATCATGAAGGCTTGTGAGCTGTGACTAAATATGCCATCAAAGTATTTCCTGCTGTGCTTGTTTTAGATGACACGCAACCTCCATCATCACTTCCCCTCCAGGCAGTGAACCCAACGCATCTACTTTACTTCCAGTGAAATCAGCCGTTTGGTTTTTAAAACTGGCATTACTCTGATAGGGGAAACCGGGTAAAGCTTATGATTTGTACCAGACTGTACTTAGCATCTGATCTTTCTGTCCAACACAAATCTAAAAATTAGGTCATCCCTTACCCCAACCCTCCACTTGCAAAGAAAATCTTCCCTAAACATGCAGCTTGCCATAAAAATACAGCTGACATGGACCAACATGCAGAGGTACGAGATATTCCAGCAAACGCAGCATTCATTGTTTCCTCCCCGAGCACGAGTGGCACATTCTGGCAAGCCACAATAAAGAGCACCTACAGGAAGGGAAGTGGGCCTTTTCTGTGGCTTTCTGTTTGCGCCGTTGTCCAGCGGTCACTTCGGGTGGAAATGCAGACTGGCTGCGAGTTTGCAGCCGAGCAGCAGAACAGAACCAGATGAGAAATCTCAACTATGCAGCGCAACGACGACCAGGGCCTGGCTGACCACAAACGTCTAAGACGAAATAAAACTTAAAAAAAACATTGCTGTGTCAGAGGATAAAGGCAACGGACTTCATAAGCTGCGAGTTTGTGATGTGCGGACAGAAGTAGAAATGAAACACATGCGCCAATGTGCTGGCTTTCTACAGAACAACTTGACTTCAGTTGAAAGAGCTTTTCTTCTCTGAAATGGCATTTTCCCTTAACAAATACAATCTGTAGCCCAAAAAGACATATACAGTGGGTATCATAAAACCACACCATCCTGAGATAAAGACAGATGTGGGTGAAAACATTTCTATACGAATAAGAAGGCCTACTTTATCCTCAACAGGATGTATCCTTGTGGCTTTCCCCATTACCACCTTCTCCTCTTCCTCCTCTTCCCCCTCCTCCACACATTATCCCCTTCATCTTAGGAATAATTACATCAGTATGTCCAAACAGGATGTGGAAAAACAGAGACAGTGACCATCAGGTTGAGGTCAAAGCAGATACTTTTCAGAAAGGCTCTTATGGACGCATTACCAAAAATTACTTCAGCAACCAATAAGAGTCACAGTGAGAGATCAGGAGCGAGTTTTCAGGGGGTTTACGGTACATAAAAGGAGAAGTGAGATACAAGAGAGACATGGGACGAGGGTAGATCTGCTCCACAAAAGGGAATAAATATGCAGAGATCTGAGGAAAGAGTTTTCAAAATCTGCAGTAAAGTCACATTTCCTCATTAGCACTGCAGTTAGTTTCAATCTCTCGTGTTATTTATGACTTGTATGAAAAAGTCAGACTACATATAATTAGTCCAGCACAGTACCGACTAATAGCTGCATCATTGTGATTAATGCTATTCTACCCAGTGATGAAATGATTCCTTCAGAGGCTCAAAGAAGCACAAACATAAAAATAGAAATCAGGAGGTCAAGTCAATAAGGACTCACTTCAAAGCAGGCAATTATTGCTTAATTTGGGCACATCCAAGAGTCATCTTTCACAACGATTGCACTGAATGCTTCAGTTGTGAGTCCTAAAAACAAGTATGCATGTATGATATAGGAAAATGACAATTGGGAAACATGCTGACCTTTGAGGTAAGTTAGAAACAATCAGCTGAACAACCACCAAAACCAAAGCTCAGTCAGTGTCTTGCGAAATAATTCATGCCTTGTGACATTTTTACATTTAGTTACATTACGGCCTTAAAACTACATAAATTTGATTAAGATTTTATGTGACCGACTACACTTTTACAATCTCATAGTGCACCGAGTTTGGAGAAAAAAAAAAAAAACAAAAAAAAAAAAACACAAAGATGATGTAGTTGTGCATCCAAACCTATGGAATAGGCAAGATCACCATTTGGAAAAGCAAAAAAGTGAGGCCGACTGACTCTGGAGAAGCTGCTAAGGTGGGAGAATCTCTGAAGAAGAAATTATTCACACACCCCACAAATCTGACCTTAATGAAATGCAATTCTGGAAAGAAGACCCATCTAGAGGACACAGCAAACTGTTGTAGACGACAAACTGGTCAAATGTGAGCAAAATGAAAATTTCTGGCCAACATGAAAGAGAATACTCCGACTGCACAGCTGCTCTAACAGCACTATTGTGAAACATAAGGGTGGGTGCCGGATGCTGTGGGAATGCTGTACAAACACAGAAACTGGTCAACACCGACAGGGAAATGGAGGAGGTAAACAAGACAATCCCAAAAGAAAACCGGTTTTATGCTGCAAAAGACTAGAGACTAAGACAAAGGTGGGGGACCTTTGGAACACCTTTGTACGTTCAGTGTCTCCCAGCAGACACTGAACATCTATTATTAATAGATAATAATGTCCCAATCAGAGTTCACATCTAAATCCAACTAAAAATCTAGGGCGATTATTCCCACACTTTTCTTTTGTCACCATGCTCTACATTGACGTTTGTCGTTTCAGGACTACAAAACGGAAAAGTTGGAAGTCATGGTAACTCCACCGTGCTCTCCTGCCCGGTGCCATCTCCTCTTCCTCGTCTGCTTCTGTCCAACAGCTTTAATCTCTGCCCCTGACATGTGACTTCCCTAATCCCCCCACCCCCCCCTCCAAACAGCTGCAGATTTGACACAAAGCTCTGCGATTTGGTTCATCAGCAGATGATGCGACATGCTAAGCTGTGCAGTGAGAGCCGCACAGTATTTTTACACGTCTGGCTACTCCGTCACAGAGGTCGCTGGTTTTGTCTGCAGCTGGAGCTCCAGCTTCCCTATGCGTTCTCATGTGAGCACAGTTCAATGCCAGGGCGGATGAGGAAGGAACAGACCGCTCTCCTACTGGGGGCAATTAGATTTTTGTGGGTTTCTCATGTTTTATGCTAGACTTCAGGCAACAAATCTGCAAACCCCCCACTCATTTGGAACAAAGGGCAGCAGCAAAGCAGAAAGTGGGTCAACCTTTCACACTGAAAAGGTGGCAGATGCTTCTCTGGACTGTACAAAACAACATGCATTAAAAATGTACATGAAGACAAAAAGATGAGTGGGAAAAAATGATGCACCTACACCAACACAAAGGAACAGATGCACCATCTTTCCTCACCTTGCCGCTCTTAATTAGCTCCTTTCTGCCATAGGTCGACATGAAATAAGAATAATAATGCATCTCAGAAGCATTATATCCACAGAGACTGAAGGCCTCACCATAACAACCAGTGAAGGGATATCACAATAAGCCTTCGCCTCCTTTCTACAGCTCGTCTTTTAATATGAGGGAGGAAACAAACGAACAACAGTAGGAACAGGATCACTGACAAAGCAAAAGGAACCGCAATTTAAATATATATATATATGTACATACCTGAATCTTCATTTTCCAACAGGAATTCATTGCTGGATCTTCTAGTCACCTCACCCTCTCACTCACACACACACACACACACACCCCCACACACACTCTCTCTCACACCGACGAATGCAGATCAGGGGGGGTTACATGCCCCTTCTGTAAATCCTTGAGGTGAATCCAGATCGAAAAGGAATGAGTTCCAGTGAAAGCCAAGCCTTTACAAATACGGAAGTAAAGCTGCGGCGTCAGTAGTCACTGAGCAGAAACAAAGGCGGAGGCAAAGGTAGGAAGAGACGAAGCAGACAGACGCAGAACAAGCTGCTGCCCTACATTTTTTTTCTTTTCAAACACATAAATACTGATCTGCTGCTGCCTGTCCAGGCTTGTCTCCCCTTCAGCTGCAGAGAGGCACACACACGCACACACAGCATGCAAACAAGCACACCCCGTGTTTTTTTTTTTTTTGCTACTGTAATCTCATTGGCCGAGCCTCCACTTCCTCCAGCTGATCTTGATGGGAGCTGGGGGAGGGGGAGGGGCATACTGCTGTTGAATCATTCAAGAGAGGGAGGAGGAGGTTTTAAATAGACCGTCTACTGAGCTGGACCTTAAAGAGCCTCTTGATAACCCTGATTAAGCTCGTCGCGTACCACCACACATATTAACACAGCCTGCCGCCCCATCAATCCCCCCCGGTGATTTAAGACAAAGGAGTCAGCCGCCTGAAAATGTGAAAAACTGCTAAGGATCCCCACCAATCACAGATCCCGTTACTCCCACCTCCACCAATCTCTAGCCTGCAAGGTGGAGCGGGGCTGACACGGGTGGCAATTCATTACACACATCTTCCTCACAGCTGTGCCCAAGGACGTAGCTAAGACAGTCTAATGCTGACACAGCAGGCCATTAAAGCCCAAGTCCACCAATAAACACACCAAGTCATCTTTTTTATATCATCGTGAGTCACCAGATTGTTTCACAAGGTGAAGCCAATAAGGAACATGTCTACAAGAAAGAAAGAGAAAGATTTCCCCTGAAGAAACAAACCAAAAATGGGTACATTTCAGGTGATTAAACAAAGAATAAACGAGCTGAACACATTAAATCACCTAATTATTTCCTGTTTGGGTTACATTCTGTGCACACACAGATGCCAGACAACCTTATGTGACCCCTGAAACTCAACTTTGAAAACCTGTGGCTTAAGATTTATAGTTTAGTGACATTTCTGCAACCAAGAACACATTAAGCCTTAAACAGGTGTTGCACATACATAACTGTGCCCCAGTTTGTACGTTTTGTTTTTTTCAACTTCCATTTTTGACCCACATCAAATAATTTCTAACTTGCGATCAGTATTAACAGATAATACATCTGATAGAATATTTAATAATTTTTCTGGACTCTGATCTGGAACCACACAACATTCTGGGGAATGTAGGCAGATTTAACCTCTGAATTTTTCATGGCCAGCTAAGCTAGATTGGTGGCACCAATTAACTCATTTACTCTTTGGTTACCAAGCAACCAAATGTGTGCCTCCACATAGACTTTGAATGTAAACCAGACACACCTGATGCTCAAAACGCATTTGGTGTGAACGCACCATCAGGGAAATCTCTAAAAATGTATAATTTTAAGTTAAAACTTTAACGCTCAATATGTCTCTGAGCTGTGAGCTTCGGAGGTTTAAAAGGTACAGCACTACCTGAACATGGCAGATTATGACCCTAATATCACTAAAATAACTCTATATGACCTCCTTATGGTAGATATATTTTATTCGTGTCACATGACCCAATTTCTTCACAGTAGACTTTTAGTATATTGTGAAAAATCACTTTAAATCATGAATAGTCAAAACGGATACAGACAGTTCAGGAGACAGGTATGAATTGAAGTGAGGTTGGTTCACGCTGTAAGATTACTTCTTTTCTCTACCTTAATAAAGACATCTTGGATCCTTTCAATTGGATAATGAGATGAGTAACACTTCACTTTCATCGAGCTCTCTCAACAACTTTTGTCACAAAAAGCACAATTCCAGCAAATATGCTGGTGTGACGGAACTTATATGTTTTTGCATGGATTCAGAGAACTATAAAGTGGGTGTGCGACAGCGGAAGTGGTTTACGAAACTTACTGGAAATTCTGCACACTCTTATGAAATGTCTTCAGTAGAAGGAAGTTTGAATTTTGAATCTTCAAATAAATATTAATTTCTCTGATGTTGTGGAGTCTGTCCAGAACTTCATTTAAAGGGTGGCTATTATGTCAAAAGTACTTTTTTGAGCTCTATATCATGCTACAATATTATTACCTCATCAAAAACATAGCTGGAGTCTGCTTTGAATCCGTCACGCATGTTTGAGAAATCCCAGAATCTCCCGTTGCAACCATTACAGCGGTGTTTTACCGCTTGCTTTCACAAAATGCGCCCAGCTCCTCCAGACTAGCGGCAGCAGCAATTAGCAAACAAGTGGTGAAACTGCAAGTCTGCTGAGTTCATCAGCATTTTTGTAACAACTGAAGGTAATATGCTTACCTGACAAGAAACCATGTTACCTAACTAGCCATAAAATGGCACTATGTGCTAAAAAAAAAAAAAAAAAAAAAAAAAAAAAACAAAACCTTTTTTTTTTTTTAAAGGGGGGGGAAAAAAAAATTTTTAAAAAACAAAATTTTTTCTTTTT